GCCCCACAGCCCAGGAGAATGCCCCTCCTCCCTGCCCTACCATGATGAGACGAAGCCCGGAGCACAGCAGAACATCACAAAGCCAGGGAGGAGGGCAGCAGGGCCTCACGCTGGGCGGTCCAGAGCCTGAGCACCTGCCCGGCCCCACGCGAGACCAGCGCTGCTTCCTGGCCCCATGGGGCCCTCTGTGTGGGGATTCTCATTGTCTAAGAGGGAGAAGCAGGACCTTGAACTAGAATAGCGGGAGTGAAGAACTAGAAGACACTCGATGGTAGTTGGCAGGCCCCGGACCACCGGCTCACCTGGAGAAATACCGCAGCAGATGTTTCCTCCGCTGGGCAGCGGGAGCCCTGGAATGCACGTAGGCCCGCTAAGAGCGGCACATCCATCCGGCGTTGAAAGCTCCCACAGCCAGGCGCCGATGGCTCGTGTGTATAATCCTCGCTCCTCAGGAGGCTGAGATCTGAGCATTGCGGTTTGAAGCCAGCCTGGGCAGAAAAATCCCTCAGACTCTTTTCTGTGCAATTAACCCACCCAATGCCTGACTGGAGGCGTGGCTCGAATGGTAGAGCAGCTGTGAACAAGTAAGCTGAGTGAGCGTGTGTGTTCAAGCCAAGGAAGGATGCAAAAAGGAGGAGGAGAGAGAGGGAAGGAGGGAAGAGAGGGGCGTGTCCCTGTACTGTTCATCCTGGCCCTGTCTGCATTTACCTCCAGTGGTGTTGGATTGCTGAGCCGCACCTGCAACCTGAATTAGAAGGCAGTGTTTGTGAACTGATGGTGTTCATTAGAGAAACTGTATCAGCAACAGGAACTTAGAAACAGTTTTATTTCTTCTTGGGAATCTCTGAAAACAGCAATTATGATTCCAGAGAGCAGAGAGGCAGATTGCTTACAAGTTTGGTTTGCCAATTAAATGGACCTCGTTGTTTGGACTGGCCAGTCATGTTCTGGCGTCCACATTTGGTGAGGGTTGGAGACCTTTTGACTCAAAGCCCGTAGATAGATAGATAATAGATAGATGAGTATCTATAAATATAGAGCTAAATAGGTATCACTTAAAAATGGTTTAAAAAAAAAAAAGCTGGGTGCCAGTGGCTCATGCTACTCAGGAAGCTGGGATTGAAGGATCAAGGTTCAAAGCCAGCCTGGGCAGGAAAGTCCATGAAAGTCTTTATCTTCAATCATTAAAAAGCCAGAAGTAGCTGGGCACTGGTGGCTCACGCCTGTAATCCTAGCTACTCAGGAGGCTGAAATCTGAGGATCGCGGTTCAAAGCCAGCCCGGGCAGGAGAGACCGTGAGACTCCTATCTCCAATAAACCACCAGAAAACCAGAAGTGGCGCTGTAGCTCAAGTGGTAGAGCGCTCGCCTTGAGCTGAAGAGCTGAGGGACAGCGCCCAGGCCCAGAGTTCAAGCCCCACGACCGACAAAAAAAAAAAAAAAGCTCCAGAAGTGGAGCTGTGGCTCAAGTGAGGTGGGGTGCCAGCCTTGAATAACAAAGCTAAGGGGCGGCGCTGAGTTTTAAAAAATAAAAGTTAAAATGGTAAACAGCATATATTCCTACAGTAAGTTCTCTCCAAGTTCCTCTATAGTTAGATATTACAGCGCCCACAGACTATTAGATCAAGCCGTCTGTCTGTCTCTCTCTCTCTCTCTCTCTCTCTAAAATACTGTTTGTTGCTTTTCGGGGAAATGTGATTATCTCTCAGTTGATGGTGTGGCTCTGTGTTCTCAATGGGGCTCATTTGCTATTGACGGTCTGTGGTTTGCTATTGATGATCTGTGGTTTGCTATTGACGGTCTGTGGTTTGCTCTTGATGGTCTGTGATTTGCTGTTGATGATCTGTGGTTTGCTATTGACGGTCTGTGGTTTGCTCTTGATGGTCTGTGATTTGCTATTGATGATCTGTGGTTTGCTATTGCTGATCTGTGGTTTGCTATTGCTGATCTGTGGTTTGCTATTGATGGTCTGTGGTTTGCTCTTGATGGTCTGTGGTTTGCTATTGATGGTCTGTGTTTTGCTATTGCTGATCTGTGGTTTGCTATTGTTGATCTGTATTTTGCTATTGCTGATCTGTGTTTTGCTATTGCTGATCTGTGGTGTGCGGCCGAACTGGAATGGGCTGGTCCTCATGGCAGGAGTCTGTTAGAAGTCTCTCCTGGGGAAACTGAGTCCTCCGTGAGCGGCGCTGCTCCAGGGTGCGAGTTGAGTCTCCGGGGTGCAGGCATCTCCAGTCACATTGCATTCCTGTTTTTCTTTGCCAAACCTCAGAAAATGCCCCGGCTCCCCTATTCCCACATCTTCTCAGTGGGGCCCAGCCTCCTGCTGAGCCAGCAGGTCAGAGCGTGCCTCGGGGCTGCGTGTGCATGCGCGGTGCGTGGCATGGGTGTGCGTTTCCTCCTGCATGCGCGTGTGCTGTCTTTGGGGGAGTTGGGGGGGTAGGGGAGCGTGTTCCCTGAATCCCGCACCTCTCATGCGGGTTCTTGCTGCATGAGATCCATCATGTGGGTGGAACCACGGAGACCTAAAAACATCTGGATCAGAATCTCCTACGGACGGGAGCACCAGCCAGAGGCCCTCCGAAGCGTACCCAGTGCCCTGGGGGTGGGGTGTTTATAAATCCATGCAATCCCCAGACATTTCCCCTCTGCCCACAGCTGGGAAAACCTGCGGTACAGAGGGCACGCATCTGAACTGATGTTTTGTGTGTGTGTGTAGGTAAAGTTGGTACCACAAGCTGCTGGGGGGTGGGGGGGTAGAGGAGGCCTAAGGACAAATGTCCAGCAAGAGCCCTGTGGACTTAGCACCAGGCAGGGACGACAGAGCACAGCCCCACCCCCGTCCTCAGGCTGAGGGTCTGCGCTGTCCCCGAGCTTTTGTGCACAAGGCGTTCTACCACTTGAACCACAGCACCACCTCCAGCTTTTTAGTGGTTAATTAGAGGTAAGAGCCTCGCCGACTTTCCTGCCCAGGGCTGGCCTCAAACTGCCATCCTCAGATCTCGGCCTCTTGAGTAGCTAGGATGACAGGCGTGAGCCACCGGTGCCTGGTTCTTTTTATTTATTTATTTTTTAAATCAGGTCCTATCATCCAGGCCCAGTGACATCCCCTCCTCCACTGTTCCCCTCTCCGGAAATCCTCACCATAACCAACTCTCCCGGGGGAGGTTTGAGCAGGAAGCTGCACTTTTCCTAGTCTCTGCTTACTGGGTGGGTTGTTCCAGAAAGCCATATTCACGGCTGTGCATTCTGCAAGTAGAAGCAGCGTCCCAAACACGGATTTCTGTAGCCGACTGCCTGTGTCTCCCAGAATTCCCCGCGTGAGTGCTGCGCTAGTTGAAAATGCCTTGCGCGGGACACGGGAGAGGGAGGTGAAGGAGAATCGGCTTTCCTGGGATCGGAGGGGAGACCCAGAGTGTCTGCCGTGGAGAGCAGCGTGGGGGCCGTCCCCACTCACGTGGGTGCCGGGGCCTCACCCCTGCCGCGTCCGGGTTTGAGCAGCATTCAGAGCACGCTTCTGCCTCTTGGTCTTTGGAGGTGGCGATGAGACAGTCGGGTGGGTTCTGCCCTGAGCAGATGTGGGGTGTGTATTTGATTGTTGTAGTGCAGGGTCGTGGAGAGCAGTGCAAATGGACTGCTGAGACAGCCCGGGGCTGCATGTCCAAAGCCACAGCCAGGAGCCGAGGCCACAGAATAAGGAGCTGTGGGTTACAGAAGGCCATTTTAGAGATCTTTGCATGAAGAGAGACAGACAGACAGAGAGAGTGAGCACGTGAGATCTCCTGTGCTTCCAGGCACCGGCACCTCACACCCTTATAACCCTAGCTCCTTGGCAGGCTGAGATCTGAGAATTGAAGTTCCAAGCCAGCCAGGGTTAGACAAATCCTGGAGACACCGATCTCCCGTGAACCAGCAAAAAACCAGAACCGTGGAAGTGTGGCTCAAGTAGTAGAGTGCCAGCCTTGAGCGAAAAAAAGTCAAACAGGAGGGTGAGGTCCCGAGTTCAAGTACTAGCACACACATAGACACACACGTGCATGTGCGCACACACATACACACACACCCCAAAAGAAAAGGAGTTTGGTTTATAGAAAAATTAACCATCCAGAGTGTAGCAGCATCGGCAGCAGTAAAAGCCTGGACTTTAGACTGGCCTTTTGCTACCTAGAAATTATGTGACCTCCCTCCCCCCCCTCCCCGCCCCCCCCCCCCGCCCCCCCCCCCCCACACACACAGCAAGCAATGGCCGCCCTGGTCTGTGAAACGGGGCTACGGAATCATACACGTTTGTTGCGTAGATGAATTGGAAACCTCACATTACAAAAACACATCACTAGGGAAGTTGATTCTTCACAGTCTCACCACCCAACGAGACAATCGGGGACTTGCTATCGGGGTCACATCGTCTCAGACGGAAAGACATCTTCAAGAGAGCTTCCCCCTCGTTCAGCTCGGGTGTCTCCTGGGGTCCCCAGGGAGATGGCGGGAGCTGGGTCCTGGGGCCAGCTTTCACAGCCTGCCCTGGTCACGGCACAGCGCCCCGGGCTGAGGTTCGCACCCGGGCTTCTCGCTTTGGAACGCTGCTCTGAGAATGAGGACGAGGCTCGGGGAGGGCCTGGCTGACTTTTCTCAGGCCCTCAGAGATCGCCTCCTTGTCTCCCAGCCCCGTGGTGTTCATTCCCAAGGCACCCTCGGGAAGCCAAGAATGGAAGAGGTTTAATCAACCCCGGTTTCGCGGTCCCAAAAATGCCTCTGGAGGAATCAAAGCAGCCATTCTGTGCCGGCCCTGTAGGGCTTAGCGTAGGAACAGCCCGGTCTGTGCATGCGCAGTCACGGGCAGGAGGAATTCCTGTTGTGATCGTGTGTGCCAGGAGGCCCTGGCCCAAGTTCTATGTGCTGACCACTGACCACGTGGCCCCAGCGAGGGACTCTGATGCCACAGTCCCACCTCCGTCCACTCAGGCCTCAGTCCCTTACCTTGGCACTGCCCCTGTTTTGCAGCCCCTCAACATTGCCTACAGCCACATCTACAGCTCCTACCGGAACTTCGTGGGACCCCCCCACTTCAAGACCATCTGCCGGCTCCTGGGCTACCAGGGCATCGCCGTGGTCATGGAGGAGCTGCTGAAGATCGTCAAGAGCCTGGTAAGGGAGACCGCAGTGCATTGTGGGGCAGGCGGTTCATCCATCCATCCACAAGCCTGGCTTTCTCATTCTACCACAGCTCTACCTTCAGAAATCACCCAGGAGCCCTAGGTCCTAGGTCTCTTGGTGGTTCCTATGAGTCCTTCCGGTGTGTCTGTTTACCTGTCAGCGGTTGCCAGGCTTGCTCTCCTTTTGTCCTGTTTTTGATCACTAATCCCAGCAACCCTGATTTTGATCACGATAGATCTCAGTCAGGCTAGGTGCCCGTGGCTTACACCTGTCATCCTAGCTACTCAGGAGGCTGCGAGCTGAAGATCACAGTTCAAAGCCAGCCTGGGCAAGAAAGTCTATGAGACTCGTATCTTCAACTAACCCAAAAAGCCAGAAGTAGACATGTGACTCAAGTGGTTGAGTGCTAGCCTTGAGCACAAAAGCTTAGGAACAGTGCCCAGGGCCTGAGTTCAAGCCCTAGGACTTGCACGCGCGCACGAGCGCACACACACACACAAGATCTCGGCTAATAATTTCAAACTCCCCCCCCCTCCCCAGTATTATATCAATATGAGCAGGTAAATGCATAACGTATGTGCTGTTGTTTTTCTATTCCATTGCACACAGCAGACATCTCTAATCAATCACTCCACTCTGTCTCCTTGAGGTTACCAGTACTGCTCTGGCATTAAGGAAGCTAGTGTGGGCATCTAATTTCCACTTAATTGCCTGCGACTCTACTAAGCAAAACCAAAATATATAAACCACATCCCCCTGGAAACCTGACATGAAGAAAAAGCCATGTAGAACCACATTGGAAATACAACAGGGATCACCAGCAAGCTCCTTAATTCCTTAGCTTCAGCTATGTATGTGAAACTAAATGCAAGATAAAACAGGAAAATGTGGTGATTGATTAGTAATGTCTGCCTTGGACCTAGCATAGGGAAAGATGCTGTATATTTCCACATGCTTAAATTAGGTGGTGGGATGGAATCTCCACAGTTCCCTGCCCACATTTTGTGTTGGCTCTTAAGTCTGGATGTCACAATAACCCCATCCCCAGGGGAGGCCCCACACCTTAGAAACGTGCCCTTGGGAAAGTTGGTAAGCCAAGGCGGCCTAAGTACCGTACAGATGGGCCCTCAGCGAGGGAACCTCCGTGCCTCCAGCCGGCTTATCGGCTACCCTCATTTCATAGCTGCAGGGCACCATCCTCCAGTATGTGAAGACGCTGATCGAGGTGATGCCCAAGATTTGCCGCCTGCCGCGACATGAGTACGGCTCCCCAGGTGGGTGCCAGGGAAAGAGGGGACACTTGGGTTGTGGTGGGGGCCGGGCTGTGCGTGCTAGTTAACCCTGCCCCCCATGAGTGAGCTGGAAGTGATCTCACACTCACACTGAGGGGGTAGGGGCGCCACCTGCCTGCCGACCCGGGTCCCGCAGGCAGACCGGCCGTTTCAATCACCAGCAGCGAGGGTCGCAGGTTGAGATCTGCGTGCTCTCAGTTCACAGAGGACCCCGTCTGTAGGGTCCCCGGTCGGAGGGGCTCACTCAGTGATATATCCCTAAGGTGGGGCCGGAAATAGGGGTTCTGGCTGCTCCTTAGGTCCCTGGAGAATGATCTGGGGCCTGTGGTGTAGTGTGTGGTGTGAGGCCGGGTACTCTGCCTCGCCAGGGCTGCGCGAGGGTGGCCGATGCCCCTGGCCCGCTCTCAGCCTGCTCGGTGATACTCTCACGAGCGGCAGGCAGTCAGGAAGGCCTGTGAGTTCAGCTTTTTTGGGGTGGGCGTTGGGGGGGGCGAAGGGACACATGCTGTTTCGTTCGTGCGTGTTCAGTGCTTTATTTTGTTCCATGGCATGATTTGCACCAGCGCCCCCAGCTTTTTTCTAGTGTGGACTCCCCCCCCCCCCCCGTCCGAGTCTGGGGGGGCCCGCGGGGTTTGCTGCTGCTGTGTGGTCAGCCGGCCGCTCCCCGCTGACCACGCCCCGCCCCGCGCAGGCATCCTGGAGTTCTTCCACCACCAGCTGAAGGACATCATCGAGTACGCCGAGCTCAAGACCGACGTGTTCCAGAGCCTCAGGGAGGTGGGCAACGCCATCCTCTTCTGCCTCCTCATCGAGCAGGCGCTGGTGAGTGGACAGACCGGGCTCCCCACGCACGCCGCGGCCGCGCCCAGGCCTCAGGGCAGCCAGCCCTGTCCTCCAGGCGCTCGCTGGCCGCACGTGGGGAGTGGACACCGTGCAGGCCCGGCCCCGCCCGAGTCGCCTGTCAACGTAGACCGGTGTGCTTACAGTAAGAGCATGGCGGGGCGCATGGGTGGAGGAGGAGAAGGAAGAGATGGGGAAGAGGAGGGAGAGGGAGGCAGGAAGATAGGAGGAGGAATGGAAGAGGAGAGTGGTAGAGAGGATGACAGAAGGAGTGGAGGAAGAGGAAGGAGAAGTACGTGAGGCAGAGGAGAGGGAGAATGGAAGAGAATATAGGAGAGGTAAGGGATTAGAAAGGAGGGGAAATTAAGGATGTCCGTGGGCGCAGAAGGAGGAAGGAGAAGAGAGTTGAGGGGTTAGGAGGAGGAAGACGACGACAGGAAGAGTTGAAGATGAGAGGAACAGGGAGGAGATAACGTGGAAGGGAGGAGGAGAGATGGACAAGGATGAAAAGAGGAAAGGGAGGAGAGGAGGGGGACTTGGAGGAGGATGAGGTAGAGGAGTGTGAGGAGAAGGGGAAAGGATATTTCCAGGAGGAAGAGGAGGAGGAGAGGGGCAGGAGGAAGAGGAGGAGAGGTGCAGGAGGAGAGGAGGAAGACAGGAGGGGAGGGGCAGAAGGAAGAGGAGGAGAGGGGCAGGAGGAGAGGGGCGGGCAGGAAGAGGAGGACAGGAGGAGAGGGGTGGGCAGGAAGAGGAGGACAGGAGGAGAGGGGCGGGCAGGAAGAGGAGGACAGGGGCAGGAGGAGGAGATGGGCAGGAGGAAGAGGAGCAGGAGGAGGAGAGGAGGAGGAGGAGAGGAGCAGGAGGAAGAGGAGGAGGAGGACAGGAGATGAGGAGGAAGAATGGTGGGTCAGGAGAGGTAGAGGAGGAATTGAAAGGAAAGAAGAGGAGGATGTTCGCAGGAGGAGGACAGGAAGATGGGTGAGAGGAGGAAGAGAAGAAGAGGAATCGAGGGGACGAGGAGAGAAGGGTGGTGGTGGAGAGGATGAGGAAGTAGACGGAGGAGGAAGAGGAGGAATTGGGAAAGATGAGGAGAAAGAAAGACGGATAGAGAGGAGGAGAGGGAAGGAAGAGGAAGGAGGAAGGAGAGGCCAAGGAGAGGAGGTGAGGAAAAGAGAGGAGGGGAAAGAAGAGGAGGAGGGAGGGAGGAGAGAAGGGAGAGTTGGAAGAGGGGAAGAAGAGGAAGGGAAGGTAGGCGCAGCAGAGGTGGCGGAGGGGGAGAAGAGGAAAGGGATGCTCCCGGGAGCAGGAGGAAGGTGTGGGGCTCAGGGAGAGGAGGAGGAGGTCAGAGCAGGAAGAGGAGAACAGAGGAGGAAGGGGAAGTAGAGGAAGAGGGGACGAAATGAGGATATAAAGAGGAGGAGGAAAGATGAGGTGGAAGGAGGAGGAGAAGAGGGAAGGAGCCGGAGAGGAGGAGGAAGAGGAGATGGAGGGGGAGAGGAGAAAGGGGAGGAAGGTGACAGGAGGGAGAGTTGGAGGAGGAGAACAGGAAGAGGAGGGGAGGAGGGTGAAGCAAAGAGGAAGTGGAGAGGAGGAGGTTCGCAGGAGCAGGAAGAGGAGAGGAGGGGGCGGGGAAAGGTGAAGGAGGAGGAGCAGCGGGAAGAATCGGAAAGGATGAGAAGAGGGAGAGGAGGAAAAAAGAGGATGTGGAGGAGTCTGAAGAGGTGGAGGAGAGGATGAAGGAGAAGACAGGGAGGACTAGGAAGACAGGGCGGGAAGAGGGAGAGGAGGGGACAGGAAGGAGAGGAGGGAGACAAAGGAGGAGGAGGAGAGGAAGGGAGGAGGGAGAGGAGGAGAGGGAGAGGAGCTCCCAGGAGCAGGACAGGAAGAAGAGGTGAGAGGAGGAAAGAAAAAAGGGGAGGAGGAGAAGAGAAAGGGAGGCGGAGAGGGGAAGGAAGTAGAGGGAGGAGGAGGAGAGAAAAGAAATGGAAGAAGAGATGAGGAAAGGAGGCGAAGCGGAGGGGCTGGAGGGGAGAGCGGGGAGAGAGGAAGCAAAGAGATGAGGAGGGATTGGCAAAAATGAGAGGAGGAAAGAAGGGTGCTCACAGGAGCCGGAGGAGGAAGAGGAAGGAGAGGAAGATGGAGACAAGGAGGTGGTGGAGGAGAGGAGGAGGAGGAAGGCGAGGAAGACAAGGAAGAGGAGGAAGAAAGGCACAGGAGAGGAGGAAGAAAGGCACAGGAGAGGAGGAAGAGGAGGAAGACGAGGTGGTGAGAAGCAGCGGTGGAAGAACTGGAGAGGATGCAAAGAGGAAGAGGGAAAGGACAGGAAGAGGAGGAAGAGAAGAACAGGAGGAAGGAAGGTGGTGGAGAAAGAGAAGGATAAGAGGAGCAGGAAGGGGAGGTGGAGGAGAGGAAGGGGAGGTGGAGGAGAGGAAGGGGAGGTGGAGGGGAGGAAGGGGAGGGGGAGGGGAGGGAGGGGAGGGGGAGGGGAGGGAGGGGAGGGGGAGGGAGGGGAGGGGAGGGGAGGGGAGGGAGGGGAGGGGGAGGGGAGGGAGGGGAGGTGGAGGGGAGGAAGGGGAGGGGGAGGGGAGGAAGGGGAGGGGGAGGGGAGGAAGGGGAGGGGGAGGGGAGGAGGGGGAGGGGAGGAGGGGGAGGGGGAGGGGAGGAAGGGGAGTGGAGGGGAGGAGGACAGCAGGAGAGGAGGAGGGAGGGAGGCTAGGGGAGGAGTTGGATCGGTTGGTTACCTGTTGGGCTGAGCAGGCAGCGCGCTGTAGCTGTGTGTGTGCACCCCTCGCCTTTGCTCTGTGGCGCACGCGACACCACACGGAGCTCCCCAAGCCCCGGTGCCGCTGCGCGGGAGGACACAGCCCCCCGCGCCACCCCGGGTTCCCACTCGCCATGCCTCTGCGGTGTCTCGGTCCCCCGGCTGTGGGAGGGGTGCAGCGGGGTCTCGCTCATCCTGGCGTGCTGAGCTGACCGCTGGCCGCAGCTCTGGGGTGGACCACAGCCAGGACCAAGAGGCTCGCCATCTTTTGTCTTTGTCCGTCGTGGGTCTTGAACTCTGGGCCTGGGCGCTGTCCCTCAGTTCTTCAGCTCAAGGCGAGCGCTCTGCCACTTGAGCCACAGCGCCACTTCCAGTTTTCTGGTGGTTCGTTGGAGAGCAGAGTCTCACGGTCTCTCATGCCGAGGCTGGCTTTGAACCGCGATCCTCAGATCTCAGCCTCCTGAGTAGCTAGGATGACAGACGTGAGCCGCCGGCGCCCGGTGAGGCTCGCCGTCTCCATCGGAGAGAGAGAGGAAGATGAGCAGAGACTACACAGAGGGCTTCGGGGTGACAGCAGGGGCGGGGGTGGAGAGACACTGTCTGGGAGGAACAGAGACCCCAAGAAGAGCAGTGGAGAGTCCGCCAGCCCCGGGGCCTGGGGAGGGGCTGAGAAAAGCTGGACAGTGGGTGGAGGACGAGATCCTGGCACAGGGAGGAGTGGGCCGGCCACCTGTGAACCCCGGGGGGGGTAAGGACACCCCCATCTCAGCCTCACCATCGTCCACAGGGGGCCGGGCCGGCAGTGCCCCCACACGCCTCCCCTGCTCACCATGCCAGGCTGCTGCCGCGGATCTGTGCCCCTGGGTTGCTGTGGCAACACCGCCTTCTGCAGTCCTGTGGCTAAGCAGGAAACAGTGTTCAGGAGCGAGGGGGAGGGGGGAGGAGAAGGGGGGAGGGGAGAGGAGAAGGGGGGAGGGGGGAGGAGAATGGGGGCGGAGGGAGGGGGTTCTACTCATCAGGAGCTGGGTCTCCATGGAGCGCACAGAAAGCACTATTAGCTGAATTTGGAGAGGGAAAGATTGTTAATATATCTTTCATTTCTAGGCACAGGGGTTGTAATTTAAAAAGCGTGGCGCTTGGGACACAGGTGTATTTTCTCAGGGTTTAGGCCCGAGTCTCTCAATATTCAAGATGCAGAAGTTAGTGCTGAAAACTCATAAAACACATCGCCTAAGTCTTACTGAAGTGTACAGGTGCAACACCCTGTGATCCCCACCCGGTCCAGTAAGAGGACATTGACACTGCTCTCGTAAGTGGCCCCAGAGCCACCAAGATTCCCACTTCCACCCTAGCGATGGCGTGCGACCCCCACCCTCCCAGGAGTGGAAGCACGCAGGGTGTGTGGCTGATGGAGGAGGTCTGTCCTGCCCTCCTGTGGAAGTATGGCGGGCATGTTCACCAGTGTACTGCCATGGATAAGATCTCTTGTGCCAGGAGCCCGTGGCTCACGCCTGTCATCCTAGCTACTCAGGAGGCTGAGACCTGAGGGTCGCGGTTCAAAGCCAGCCCAGGCAAGAAAGTCTGTGGGATTTTTATCTCCAATGAACTGCCACAAAGCTGAAAGTGGAGGTGTGGCCCCAGTGGTAGAACACGAACCTTTAAGCACAAAAACTCAAGGAAGGTTGCCCAGGCCCTGGGTTCAAGCCCCAGGACCAGCACAAATAAAGGTAAATAATAATTCTTGTGCAGGTGTGTGATAAAAACTGGCTCTTTTGTGTTTTTTTTTAATTAGATAAACACAGTTGAGCTTACAAACTGGTTGTACTGATTTATACTCCCACTCAGCAAGCTAGTGGAGTTTGCATTTCTTCACCTCTTAATGAACAATTGATTTTTGCCTGGTTTTTGATGCACGTTATTTTATATAAAGAACTAGAACAAATCAGGTTAAATGAGGTAAGCCAAAGTCAAGAGAGACAAATCAGTACATGGTCTCTCTGACATGCGGAAGTTAGATCTAAAGTACACTGGGTATACAATAAATTATACAGGATTTGAACACAAACGGAGAATCACAAAGGTGCAATGCCCACGCGCCTCTTTATATTTATATAAAATTGTTTATTGTTTTTCTGAGGTGTGTCTTGATACCTCCTTCTGACTTTGATTTTTTTTCTAAAGCACAGAGGTACTTTCCAAATGGTATTGGCCATGGAGACACACTTGAAGATACCACTCAGATCTTGTTTCTTTAATTGGGTTTTCTCTACTGGACTATTGGCCTTGTCTTATCTATTTCAGATACATATATTGCAAATAGTGTGATTTGTCTTTTGGTATACAGTAGTTCTTAAAGGCAAGTTTCTTTTTTTGCCAGTCCTGGGCACTGTCCCTGAGCTTCTTTTGCTCTAGGCTAGTGCTCTACCACTTGAGCCACAGCGCCACTTCTGGCTTTTTCTGTGTATGTGGTACCGAGGAATCCAAACCCAAGGCTTCGTGCGTGTTAGACAAGCACTCTACCACTAAGCCACCTTCCCAGCCCTTTCTTGGTATTCTTGGGACTTGGAAAGTGTTTTCTGTAGTCCTGAAGATAGAGTCTACTACTAGTCCCCCAAAACCCAATTTCACTTTCTCATTATTGTAAACTTTCCTCTCTCTAGAAGCTATTGATTCGCTTCGTGAGATACAGGGTCTGACTGTAGAGTCCAGACTGGCCTCAAACTCCTGATCCTCCTGACTCAGCCTCCCGAGTGCTAGGGCCACAGAGACATGACATATGCCTAGCTTGTTGGTTGTGAGAAATACTCACCCACCCACCCATCCGTACGAGCGTGGTCAGAGCGGATTGTCCACAGACACCCATGGTGGTCGAAGGTTCTCTCAAGATTCACTAGAGATATAAACAACGCCCGGTGTGTCTTCTATCTATGAACCTGAGAAAATGGGAGAAACAGGCGCTCACTAGACAGAGAGGAATCGCCAAGCTTTCCTTCCCACTGCGTGTGGTTTTCCAGACATGGGCTTGGAAACAGTGACACCCACAGCCAGCGGGAAAGGGTCTGTCTCCGGGAAGGAGGCTGCCTGGCTCCCACCCTGGGTGGGTCCCTGTCCCTCCTTATAGAGCACTAGGCCATCCGGACAGACCTCTAGGACCAGAAAATCCTGTTGTAAATGGAGCTGTGGAGCCGCAGTCCTGGCCTTGACCACACGGTGGCAGTAGCGTCCCCAATACCCAACAGTGGCCCCAGATAACCTTTGTTCTTTGGGGGTTTTTTAAGAATACCTATCTGGGCGCCGGTGGCTCACGCCTGTCATCCTAGCTGCTCAGGAAACTGAGATCTGAGGACCGTAGTTCCTGCCAGCCTGGGCAGGAAAGTCCGTGACACTCTTTATCTCAAATGAAGCACATGAAGGCCAGAAGTGACAGCGTGGCTCAGAGTGGTAGAGCCTTTAGCCTTGAGCAAAAAAAAAGCTCAGGGACAGCGCCCAGAAGGCGAGTTCAAGCCCTGCAACTGACAACCACAACAAAAGAGCTCATTTTCTGAAGGATATCTCTCCAGATGTTTTTATGTCCAGGCATGAATATTAGCATTCCTCATAAAACTAGTTCATCATGTGGGAGAGCTCTTACCCGCTGCAAGGTTTGTGAGCAGCGTCAGAACGGAGCGTCTCCCTGTTTACCTTCAACACTACCTTTTGGTTTTCTTTTTAGTGCATGTGCCAGTACTAGAGCTTGAACTCAGGGCTTCAGGCTCTGGCTTGCCCTTCCCCCTCCCCCTCCACCCCCACCCCAATGCTGGCAATCTACCTTGTGAGCCATACCTCCACTGGTGGCTTTCTTGCAGATAAAAGGCTTTCTTGCAGATAAAGAGGCTCAGGGATTGGCCGCTGCAGCTTGCAGAAAGCATTCACCATGTGTGTGTCTATATAAGGGAATGTTGGGGGGGGGGTCACATGCTCCAGTTCACAGCCCCTTTCCCTCCCCCTCACTCCCAACAGAGACAGACGAATAACTCCTTCCTGCCATGTGTCATCTCAGAATCCAGAGCTAAATGTTACTTAAGGGGAGAACTTTTGAGATCGCTTTTGAGATCCCTCTAGTAAATCTGGTTTCTGTGTTTTTTTTTTTTATAATACTCAGGAATAGAAGCAACAGATAGTATAATGCTATCCCACAAAAATCTGTCTTCCATAGACCACACGGAGTGTTTTTGTACGTGAACACAGAACCTTCTCGATATCCTACAGCTAAGAGAAATCAACTCTGCCCTCAGCCTTACACATGAAGCAAGTTGAGAACACTGTAGGTTTTTGATGGAAATCCATCCATTGTTTCGGTATGTGTGTGTGCGCACACTGCTAGTGGAGCTTGAACTCAGCTACTCTGCAGTGAGCTCTTTTGCTCAAGGCTGGTGCTCTACCACTAAAGCCACAGCTCCACCTCCAGCTTTTTTGTTGTTGTTAGGAGGCGGTTAATTGGAGAGAAGAGTCTCTCAGATTTCTCTGTCTGCAGGACAGGCTTTGAACCTAGATCCTTGGATCTCAGCCTCCTGAGTAGCTAGGATTATAGGCGTGAGCCACAAGTGCTTTGAGGTTCATTTTAACGTAAGTGTAATACCAAGAGGTAAAATACAACTGAAGGCAATGCAAAAATGGCACGGAAATCTCAACCAAGTGGGAAGCGTGTTCCTTCCTGTAAGGTTTTTGTGGCTTGGATTTTTGCATTCCCGATCCCCAAAACCTGGTGGGTTCCCATCATGGACAGTGATTTCCCATCAGCCCTCGGGCAAGGGCTTGTCTCCTCTCATCCTGGTCAGTCAGTGGTTGTTGGATGGTGAGGATTAATCTCAGTACTCGTATGCTCGGCCTGAGCAAATGGTACTTACGGGCTGCTCGTGTTCACCACCGGCTCCGGTCCCCGCGTACAGCCACGGAGGCAGTGGAATGGGGCCACAGCCTGGCTCTGGAAGGAAACATCACAGAACAAACGCAGGGAGGTAGTGTGGATCACAGGCTATACAGCCGGTATTAAAGACTTGGCTCAAATTGGGGGGGAATCTCACTGCCAAGGTCACGCAGAGGACACACGCCTGCAGGACGCACCTGTGTAGGCACAGAAGCGCGGAGAGGCTGGGCACCTTCCACGTGTTTTCAAATAATCCCAGAAAACACAGTTACCAGCCAGGGGGGGTGGCGGCTCACGCCTGTAATCCCAGCTACTCGGGAGGCCGAGATCAGAGAATCATAGTTCAAAGCCAGCCCGGGCAGGAAAAGTACGTGAGACCCGTATTTCCAGATTGCCACTACAAAGCTGGAGATGGGGGTGTGGCTCAAGCGGTAGAGCACCAAGTCTTGAGGAAAAAGAAAGTAAAAGCCAGCGCCCTGGGCTGAGGCCCCGGCACCAAGGGAGTGGTAAAACCCACTTTGAGGTGATGATCGGATGGGGTGGGGGGTAAGCCCCAGGGGGAACCTGTCTCCCGCTGGCCCTCCCACCGCCTTCGGGGGCCGGGGGGAACCAAAGCTGAGGTCTCAGCTAACGAGCGCCCCACGGGTCCCCCTGCACCAGACGCCACATCAGGATGCTGGCAGCCTCCGTGTGCAAAGGGCCTTGTCCCCGGCCCCCGGGGAGCCTGGGGACAAAGGCCACACCGTCCCAGGGGGTGGGGGGTTACCTCTTTCTCACCTCTGGGGGTCAGAGCATCCAGGAAGCAGGCTGGGGACCCCCAGAGCCACAAAGCACACGTCTCCCTCCACACAGGTGCCCGCCCCGTGGCACCCCTGTGTGGCTCTAGTTGAGAATGAGGGGAGCCTTTTTTCGGTCCTCATTCTCCTCCCTCTCTCCCACTGATGAGAGCGAAGCAGGTGGGGGGGTTGTGCCCCCCCTGAGCACAGCATCTCTAGGAACAGAAGCGGCATTCAGAGGAGAGAAACGGGGAAAAAAATAAAGGAGGGGCTCACCACCTGGACAGCCGCAGCGCCCAGCACACTTAACACAAAAGCCGCCCAGCACCCATGGCGCACACCTGTCATCCTAGCTGCTCAGGAGGCTGAGATCGGAGGATCACAGTTTTCGAAGCCAGCCCGGGCAGGAAAGTCCGTCCGTGAGACTCTTATCTCCAGTTTACCACTAAAAAAGCAGTAGATTGCCAGCCTTAAGAGAAAAAGCTAAGGGACAGAGTCCAGGCCCAGAGTTCAAGCACACAAACGCACACACACACACAAGGTTAGCACCATAGGTACAGATTCCCAACAAAGATTTGTCTGCTCCCCTACCTCTAGGGCCCCATGCTGTGTGTTCCATTATTCCCTTCTGCTTATTCCCTGCCTCAGGACCTTTGCACTAGAACATCTTTACCTCCTATCAACCTAGCCAGCCTCCTTACTTCATTCCATTCTCTATTTGGTATAAAGATTTTTCCCTAAAGCACCCTGAGTTAACTCCTTCCTTACTGCCACACGCCAGCCTCTTACCCTGCAGTATTCGATTGCTATCTGAAATCATCTGTAATTTGTTTGCTTCATTTTTTACATGTCTGCAGCAGCTATAATTTACATTGCATGCGGGCAGAGATCTAGTCTGACTTGTTCAACATCCTATCTGCACCACCTAGAAGACTGCCCGGTGGCTAATAAATATGTGTTGGGTGAATGAACGGAGGGACGGAGTTCCAGGTCATAGTTGAAAAGAGCTCCATAGGGACAAGTAAATTCATTAATTCACCCAAGAAACACCTGCAGGGCATCGAAGATTCACTCATGTAGTGAAACACGTAGAAGACTGGTGCTCTACCACCTGAGCCATAGCTCCACTGCTGGCTTCTTTTTTTTTTGGTGGCTAACTAGAGCTAAGAGTCTCACACACTTTCCTGCCAGGGCTGCCTTCAAACTGGGATCCTCAGATCTCAGCCTCCTGAGTAGCTAGGGTGACAGGCGTGAGCAGCCGCCCCGGCCTCCAGTTCTGATTCTTAGGAGCAGCGCTAAAGGCCGCAGAGTGTTCACATCTGGATGGGTCTAGCCACGCGAGATTTCAGGAATAAAAAGTTCCAATGGTTTTCTCCCATCTCTGCCTAGTCTCAGGAAGAAGTGTGCGACTTGCTCCACGCCGCGCCCTTCCAGAACATCTTGCCCAGAGTCTACATCAAAGGTAAGAAACCAGCCGAGATCTCGGAATGGAACACTTTCGGAGTCACGCCTGTAATCCTGCCGCCTCAGGATCCTGGTTCAAAGCCATCCCGGGCAGGAAAGCTGTGAGAGGCTTCAGTTTCAAACAGACAAACAGAAGAAGTGAACTGTGGCTCTAGGGTAGAATGCTGAGCCTGAGCACAGAAGCTCAGGGACAGAACCGGGCCATGAAGGAAGGGAGAAAGGGAGGGAGAGGAAGGGAGGGAGGGAGGGAGGAAGGAGGGAGGGAGGGAGGGGAGGGAGGAAGGAAGGAAATCTTGAATACTTAAGGTTTTGGGGTGCCTGCGTGGTTTTGGGGTGCCTGAGCGGGGATGCGGAGTCTCCACCCTGCGCTGGTCTGGCCTTGGCCTCGCGTGGCTCCTGGGCTTCGGTTCCGGCCCCCACGCGGGACGGGGAGCTGGCGGTCCACCGTTGCACGCGGCTCACAGGACTCATCTCGCCAACGGCTTCTAGAACTAAGGAGAAATGGTGCGCTTCCCCCGGGCCGGGCGTCACCCCGGCTCTCTGCTTCTCTTCGCAGAGGGAGAGCGCCTGGAGGTCCGGATGAAGCGCCTGGAGGCCAAGTACGCCCCCCTCCACCTGGTCCCCCTCATAGAGCGGCTGGGGACCCCCCAGGTACGAGCGCCCCGGCTGGCGGGCCCCCAGGGGACGCCTGGGTCCTACCTGCTCGTGTTGACGGGTAGGGAAACTGAGGCCCGGAACAGGGAAGAGGACACCCCCAATAAAGCTGGCCGGGGGCCTGAGCGGGCGTGGAGTAGCCAGCCATCACCCCCATGCCCAGAGCATGCTCTGGCCTGGGCGCTGTCCCTCAGCTCTTCGGCTCAAGGCGAGCGCTCTACCGCCTGAGCCACAGCACCACTTCTGGTTTTCTGGTGGTTTATTGGAGATAAGAGTCTCACGGACTTTTCCTGCCCGGGCTGGCTTTGAACCGCGATCCTCAGGTCTCAGCCTCCTGAGTAGCTAGGATGACAGGCGTGAGCCACCAGCGCCCGGCTTTTTCTTTTCAGATAGGAGGGGTTGGGTTGGACTGAGGTCTTCCTACCTTCAGCCTCCAGCTGTGAAATAGTGGAGATTACAGGTGTGCCCCACTGTGCCCAGCCCTGGGAGTTTGTGTTAGAAATGAACACAAGGAAACCACAGAGGTAACACTTTTCCTGAAAAACATCTGGAGTAACGCACACTTGGCTCACACTCACCAGGACCTGTGGAGATGGAAGCCAGAGACGGGGCGGGGGAGGGGGTCACAGATGGCCGCAGCTTTACTCATAGTGCTCCAGTGTGTTCACCGGTCAATGGGATGCTACCAGTATTCTCCAACTTCTGTTTGTCACTGTTTACACGGGTCCTGCAGCTTGAACTCAGGACCTGGGCGCTGTCCCTTTGATTTTTATTTTTTTTGCTCAAGGCTAGCACTCTACCACTTGAGCCTCTGCTCTACTTCCAGCTTTTAGATGGTTAGGTGGGGATTTAAAAAGAGTCTCAGGGACTTTCCTGCCCGGGCTGGCTTTGAACCTGCATCCGCAGATCTCAGCCTCCCGAGTAGCTAAGATGACAGGCGTGAGCCACCGGGTTAGCCACTGGCTATATTCTTCATGTTTAAAACCCAGGCAGAGCCTGGACCTGTGTTTCCACTTCCCAAACCACGGATTCCTGCACAGCCAGAGCCGGGCAGCGCAGCACAGGGGAGTGGCCAGGTCACACGCCTCCCCTCTCTCCAGCAGCAGTCAACAACTAAAACAGCCCGAGCCCAGCGCCTGGCAGCCCAGCTACTCAGGAGGCTGAGATCTGAGGATCTCGGTTCAAAGCCAGCCCGGGCAGGAAAGCCCCGTGAGATTCTTATCTCCAACAAACCACTCAGAAAAAGGCAGAAGTAGAGCTGTGGCTCAAGTGGTAGAGCACTAGCCGTGAAGTTCAGGGACAGTGTCCCGAGTTCAAACCCCAGGACCAGCACCAAAAAAATAAGAAACCAGGGCCGTCTCATCTCTAAAATCACGTGGACCACCTTTCCTCCAGTTCCTTCTTCTACACTTGCTCCCTCCCTCCCTCCCCACCCCTCCAGCCCACCTGCTTCTACAACCAGCGTCAATCCTTCTAAACTGTTTTCATCTTTTTAACATACCCTACATATACATACTATATATAACGATATATACTATACATAATAGCTATATAGTATAAATGTATTATATATTTATATTGTGTACATTGTATAGCATATCTACACATATTAACTTTATTATATATTTCTGTATTATACTATATACATATTTATATATTTATATATAATACCATACACATATTTATATATATGAATACATTGTACATTTTATATATATAAGTTTTTTTGGTTTGGGTCATGGGGCTTGAACTCAGGGCCTGGGCACCGTCTCTGAGCTCTTTTTCACTCAAGGTGAGGGCTCTACCACTTTAAGCCACAGCACCACTCCCAGTTTTCTGGTGGTTCACTGGAGATAAAGAGTCTCAGATTTTTCCTGCCTGGTCTGGCTTTGAACTGTGATCCTCAGAGCTCAGCCTCCTGATAGCTAGGATGACAGGTGTGAGCCACTGGCCCGGCTTATATATTATACAATAGTTGCATATACTAGATAGAATATATGTCGTATGTACATAATAATATATACTACATAGTATATATTGTATTAATTTCTATAATTATATAATGTATTTTTGTTATATATTTATATTTTATATACTTTATAATACATATTATAGAAAGATATAGATCGGTCTGTGCGATCACGTGTGGACTGCTTATCAAGCCAGGTGCCAGTATTTTCAAGTTTCTTCCCCCGATTGCCGGGCCCCAAGGACTGGCTCACACCAACCAGCCGCGCAGTGTAACGGCTCAAGCAGACTCCGTGTGAACTTACCAGGAGAGCCTTCGGGACTGGAGAGCATCTCCATTCTTCCACTGCTGAGCACCGACCCCATGGCGGGGAACGCTGTGTTTTGGGGGGCGGGGAGGGCCCCCCCCCCCGTGGGCCATGCAGAACAGGACCGCCCTGCCACGTCATTTGTTGTCACTGGCACGCTCGGCTTTATCGTGTAGCCCGGGGTCTAGGAAGTGAAAACGCCAAGCTTCAGCCTCGCCGAACCTCAGTTTCCTCATCTGCAGAATGGGATGCATAATTTCCTCATCTGCAGAATGGGGTGCATAAGGGCAGGGAGAAGGGGAGTGCACGCAGCAGGGCCAGTGGCATCTCAGACTGGGCAGCGCCCACCTCCCCTTCGTTCCGTGCTTTGAGCAGAACTGTGTCAAACCACTGCCCAGCCCAGCACGGCGGCTCACGCCCGCCGTCCCCGCTACTCGGGAGGCTGAGAGCGGAGGATCACAGGCCCAAGCCAGCCCGGGTAGGAACATCTGTGAGACTTGTTCTCTCCAGTTAACCCCCCAAAACCAAAAGCGAGGAGTGCACTGCGGCTCAAGTGGTAGAGCACCCGCCTTGCGAAGCTAAGGGGCAGCGCCCAGGCGCTTAGGTTTTCGAGTCTCAGGACCGGCGCAGACATGAACAGCAACACCACTTGCTGCCCTCGGGCGTGTCCCCTCCGTGTCCCCCCCCCCCCAGTGCCCCGGGGGGCCCTGGGAGGATGGCAGCCGCGGGTGGCGAGGCTGAGCAGCCCTCCGTCTCCCCCAGCAAATCGCCATCGCCCGGGAGGGGGACCTGCTGACCAAGGAGCGCCTGTGCTGCGGCCTGTCCATGTTCGAGGTCATCCTGACCCGCATCCGCAGCTACCTGCAGGACCCGGTGTGGCGCGGCCCGCCGCCCACCAACGGCGTCATGCACGTGGACGAGTGCATGGAGTTCCACCGGCTGTGGAGCGCCATGCAGTTCGTCTACTGCATCCCCGTGGGCACCAACGAGTTCACGGCCGAGTGAGTACTGCGGGGTGGCCGCCCCCCCCCCCAAAAAAAACAGACAGCTGCGTCCGGCCTCCAGGGAGCTCGAGGGACCCAGGAGGGGGACCCCGGGCCTGGGATTCAGAGCTACAAGAGGGGCCGGGAGCTCGCTGCCCACCTCACCCCTGCAGCCCCCCTCCCGCCTCACCCCTGCACCACTGGAAGGCCCCCACGCAGACCCAGGCTGACCCAGGCCGGGCCCACAGCCCTCCAGAAGGCCCAGGGCCCTAAGATCTGGAGTCAGGGAGAGAGAGCCAAGCAGACTCTGGGCCTCTGCAGTCTGGCCTCCCCACCCCAGCCTCCACCCCCCCACCTTCCCTGCCCACCCAGGCACCTCAGCAGGGCTTGTGGCTGCCCCCACGCCTACACCCACTTCAGCCAAGGAGACGGGACTGCGGGCTGTGGAGGGCCGGGGAGGGGTCCTCATCCCCACTCCCAGCTTCTATCTCCTCCCTCCAGGCAGTGCTTCGGGGACGGCCTCAACTGGGCCGGCTGCTCCATCGTGGTCCTCCTGGGCCAGCAGCGCCGCTTCGACCTGTTTGACTTCTGCTACCACCTGCTCAAGGTGCAGAGGCAGGACGGCAAAGACGAGATCATCAAGAACGTGGTACGCGGGGCCGGGAGGGTGGCCCAGTGGTAGAGCGCTCGCCTCGCATGCACGAGGCCCCGGGTTCGATGCCTCGGGACCACCTAAGCGGAAAAGGCTGGAGGTGGTGCCGTGGCTCAAGAGGTAGAGCACCAGCCTCGAGCACAAAAGCTGAGAGGTGGCGCCCAGGCGCTGAATTCAAGCTCCAGTTACAGGCATTGAAAAAAAAAAGTGGTAAAGTGAAGGTAGGATGGACAGCTCGGCCGTCCCGTGTAAACCACCGCCACTCCCGGCTTTTGGCTGGTAAATTGGAGATGAGAATCTGACAGGCTTTCCTCCCTGGGCTGGCTTTGAACCGCCATCCTCCAGATCTCAGACACTCAAGTAGCTAAGCCAGCTTTACGACAGGGCCGCACCGTTTTGATGATGGTCGCTTGGTAAGACGCACTGAAACTGGCAGAGGCCCTCAGCGGCCTGTAGCACGAGACGCAGGAAGCCACAGGAGAGCTTGCGATGCTCTTGAGGCCTGGAGGATTCGCACTCTGCCCCCCCCCACTGAGCGTCCCTGTCCTCCCCCAGCCCCTGAAGAAGATGGCCGACCGGATCCGGAAGTATCAGATCCTGAACAACGAGGTGTTCGCCATCCTGAACAAGTACATGAAGTCGGTGGAGACGGACAGCTCCACGGTAGAGCACGTGCGCTGCTTCCAGCCGCCCATCCACCAGTCGCTGGCCACCACCTGCTAGGCAGGCCTGCAGACCACGACCCCGCAGAGGAGAAGCAGGAAGGGACAGAGAGAGGGAGGAAGCCACGGTCAGCCCGAACAGGGACTGACCGGGACGGGGTGCAGGCTGGGCCCGCCGCGCCCCCTGCTGGCCGGGCCGTGCATGCGCTTCCCCGACGGCTCCCTGGGGGGGGGTCCCACCGTGGAAATGAAAATCACAAACAAGCAAACCAGGGCGGTGTGTGCTTTTTTTTGTTTTGTTTTCATTTTCCCCCTCAACCGTGTCCTTCAGAGCTCGGTTTCTCGGCCTCCATGTCCGTCCGTCCGTCCGTCCATCCTCCCCGCCCACCCGTGGCTGAGATCCGTGGGCTCTGACCACCTCCGGGCCCACGCGTGTCCCCAGGACCCATGTGCACATCCCCATCCCCTCCTCCATCTCCACCCCCCCCCCCACTCTGGGCATTTGGGATTCCACCGCCGCCAAGAGTTCACTGGGAGCAAGGGCTGAGAGCCTTGATTCACTAGGATGAAGTTTCTAGAAGGTTCCTACGAGAGCTGATTTGGGCTCTGGTCTTTCTCAGGCGCCCTGTAGACCTCGTACTACCTTCCCCCCCCCCCCCCACAGCAGTCCTGGAGTGGTGGGGGATGCTTTCACGACTGGAACCCAGACAGACAGACAGACACAGTAAGCCTTGTCATTCCTCAAGCCAGGGCTTCGCACGGGCCTAGGGGATGATGGGAAAGTCCGCAGGGACCACGTAGCATTCACCAGTGGCCAGAAGCGCGGGCATTTCTTTCTAGGCACACACAAAAAAATCCCATCGAGGCTTAAAACTCCTGTAAGAAAATAGGAAGCGTTATTCCAACAGATCAGCGACACCGTGGGGTCAGGAAGATAAAGGCGAACGCAATAGTATTCGTCTAGAAGCTTTGAGCACGCACAGCCCTCTGGTTCTAGTGAGTCCTGGTGAATTTCCTTTGTCTCCGCTGCTGAGATCTTCCAGGGAGGTTTTGATCTTTTGCTCTCCACTTCCCACGTCTAACGCTCTTTGGTTAGATTTTTCAGGGTACTGATGCCCGGATGGATGCAGTTCTCCCGCAGGGTTATGGGAAAGCTCTAAGGCCTTGAGGGTGTAAATATCCACTCCCAGATCCCGTGGTCTCCAGAGGGGGCGGGTGCAGCACACCCCCAGCCCGAGAGGAAGGGTCTCAGAAGAGGGACAGGTTCGTCGTGATCCAGGGAAGGTGAATGGAAATGATCCAGGGTAATCTGAGGGCTTGGCTGTAACTGAACCAGAAGAGCATTAGTCCAGGAATCCTAGAACCAGGGCCCAAGGATGACCCCTAGGTAGTTCCGAGCTCCCAGGGTACACGTGTTGGAGCACCGATTTCCAGACCCCACTTCAGACCTCGTTTGAAACTCGGAGTGGGACCCGGAGATCCACGATTTCATCAGCTGCCGGAGCTCAGCCTGTGGAAGTTCTGCATGCTACTGCGGTAGGCAGATTCTCCTGCTGCCTTTAGGCCCAGAAGCACCACAGAGGTCTGAAAGCATCTGAAGCCCGCCGCTGTGTAGCTCACACCCATAATCCCAGCTCCTCGGGAGGCTGAGATCTGAGGAGTACAGTTCAAAGCCAGCCCAGGCAGGAAGGTCTGTGAGACTCTTCATCTCTGACTACCAAAAACCACAAGTCAAGCTGTGGCTCCAGTGGAAGAGCACCAGCCTTGAGGGACAAAGCTAAAGGACAGGGCCCCAAGTTCAAGCCCCAATACTGACACACAGGGAAACACAATAATCTGGCACAGGAAGGCAGCTCCAACCTGAAGCCATCTAATCAGATTTCTTCTAATTTCATCTTGATGACCTTAGCTATAACCCAGAGGGGTGGATATTACGAGGAAAACACACCTCTCCAAACCCCACCCCAAACCTAAGTAAGCTTCCAGACCCTTCCAAATCTTCAGTCTTTTCCAGGGACAGTAGCTGGCTCTCTCTTTTAAATAAAGATAAACCCAGCCCTTTTGGTTCTACAGTTCATTCCAACTCTTTGATCATTGCCTTGTAGAAATACAGACAGTCGTGTGTTGAGATTTGAGATTTCAGCAATTCACCCTTCCAACCCTGTGTTGATTCTTAAACCCCAAAGTGGATCTTTCCAGAATGCTCAGGGGATCTGATCCCAGGACAGCAATCTGCCCTTTTCCACGCGGAAGTTTGATCTCCTCAGCTCTCTGGTTACATTTCTTTCTTGAACACTGGACAAGTTCATGTTCTTTATCCTGTGTTCTTTCAGTCCCTTTTGATTTTTTTCTTAATATGTCTACGAACCAAGGGAATAACAAGATTTTAAAAATAATTTAAAAATTCTGTTTCAGAAACTGTCAAATGTGTACCATATTTGTATGAAGAGTTGTTGGGGTAATTTTTGTACAATGAATTTACATTTATTTATGGTGACTTATATTGACACTTGTGATCAAAAAAATGATGTTCAAGTCTTCAATCGTATTTGCTATGCAGCTGAAGGTGATATTTTGATTTGTATTTTGGGGCTACCTATGTTGAGTTGGTAAACATTTCATCTCCATTAAAATGGATTCCAAACTAGCAAAACCAGCATTGTGGTTGTCTGTCAATCCTTAGTGATCCCTAGAGACTATACAGAGAGTTAGGTTTGGGGGCTCACGCCTGTAATCCTAGCTTCTCAGGAGGCTGAGATCTGAGGATCACATTCGAAGCCAGCCCAGGCAGGAAACTCCCTGAGACTCTCATCTCCAGTAAACTACTCAAAAAAAATCCGGAAGTGGCACTGTGGCTCAAGTGGTAGAGTGCTCACCTTGAACAAAAGAAGCTCAGGGACAGTGCCCAGGCTGAGTTCAACCCCAGGACTAGGAAAAAAAAAAAAGACAGTACAAAGCCATAGTAATCAAAATATGGTATCAACATGAAGACAGACAGATGACAGACAAACAGAACAAGAGGTCCCAGAAATACACACACACACAGCTACAGGCAACTGACTCGACAAAGCCAAGACTTAGACTCTATGCCAAGTCACCAAATCACAGAAATACACAAGGGACAGGACACAAAAAGGTCATTATTTTTTGATAAAGGGCTCACATGAAGAGAACATATGTGTGTGTATGTATATAATTTTAGGGGGGGCGGTCCGATCATGGAGCCTGAACTCTGGGTCTGGGCGCTGTCCCTCAGCTCTTCAGCTCAAGGCTAGCGCTCTACCACTTGAGCCACAGCACCACTTCCAGCTTTTTTCTTTTTGCTTATATGGTGCTGAGGAATCGAGCCCAGGGCCTCATGCATGCAAAGCAAGCGCTCTACCACTGAGCCACCTTCCAGCCCTGTAATTTTTTTTTTTATTGTGAAAATACTGTACAGAGGGGCCTATAATTTTTTTAATTTTAATTTTTTTTTGCCAGGCCTGGGGTTTGAACTCAGGGCCTTAGCACTGTCACTGTTTTTGTGCTCAAGGCTATTGCTCTACCACTTGAGCCACAGCTCCATTTGGGGCTTTTTTCATAGTTAACTGGAGATAAGAATCTTGCAGATTGGGCTGGGAAGGTGGCTCAGTGGTAGAGCGCTTGCTTTGCATGCCTGAGGCCCTGGGTTCGATTCCTCAGCACCACATAAGCAAAAAGAAAAAAGCTGGGAGTGGCGCTGGGGCTCAAGTGGTAGAGCACTAGCCTTGAGCTGAAGAGCTGAGGGACAGTGCCCAGGCCCAGAGTTCAGGCCCCACGACCGGACCCAAAAAAAAAAAAAAGAATCTTGCAGATTTTCCTGCCTGGGCTGGCTTTGAACCATGATCTTTAAGATCTCAGTCTCCTGACTAGCTGGGATTACAAGTGTGAGCCACCAGTTTGCCTGGTTGGTTTTATTTTAAATACACATGCAATAAGGAAACCTGTTGAGGGATTTTTTTTTTTGGGGGGGGGGGGTGAGAAGGGGAAGGAGAAGGGGAAGAAGAAGGGGAAGGAGGGAAGGAGGGAGGGAAGGAGGGAGGGAAGGAGGGAGGAAAGGAGGGAGGGAAGGAGGGAGGGAAAGAGGAAGGGAAAGAGGAAGGGAGGGAGGGAGGGAGGGAGGGAGGGAGGAAGGAAGGAAGGAAGGAAGGACAGGGAGTTCAATACAGCAATGCAAAATAGACTGGAATACAGTGTAAATGTGTGTGGAAGTGAAATAATGAAATCCTCCCCAATATAACCCAAGCTAATTATATAGCCAAGCAACATTTTTTTGGGGGGGGAGGGTCCGGTCGTGGGGCCTGAACTCTGGGCCTGGGCACTGTCCCTCAGCTCTTCAGCTCAAGGCTAGTACTCTACCACTTGAGCCACTGGGCCACTTCCGGCTTTTTTTTTCTGCTTATGTGGTGCTGAGGAATCGAACCCAGGGCCTCATGAATGCAAGGCAAACGCTCTATCACTGAGCCACCTTCCCAGCCCCCAAGCAACATTTTTTTTTTTTGGTCAGTTGTGGGGCTTGAACTCAGGGCCTGGGTGCTGTCCTTGAGCTTTTTCACTCAAGGTGAGCACTCTACCATTTAGAGCCACAGTGACACTTCCATTTTTCTGGTGGTTAATTGGAGATAAGAGTCATATGCACTTTCCTGCCCAGACTGGCTTCGAACCACAATCCTCAGATCTCAGCCTCCTCAGTAGCTAGGATTACAGGTATGAACCACTAGCACCAGGCTTGATATTTCTATGTGTACAAAGCAAACGTTTCCAGACACAAAGACAGCAAAGAATCATAGTAGGGGTTTCAATGCTGCACTTTGCACATGTGATTAACTAGATGGAAAAATGGGATTGAACTGCACCCTCCATAAAATAGGGCTCACGCTATATACAGAACTTTCCATCTGGCAGCAGCAAAAATGTATTTTTTTTCTAGAGCATTTGACATAATATCTAAGGCAGACCAGATGGTAGACCAAAAGCAAGCCTTCACTAATTTTTAAGGAAATTTAAAATTATACCAAGTATTTTTACCACAAAGCATTTCTTTTTAAGACAACAAGTCAACAAAAGGAGAACATTTGAAAACTTCATAAATAGAGAACATATGCTCCTCAACTACCCATGTGTCAAAAGAGAAAACAGAAAGAAAAATGTAAAATATGTTGAGGCAAATGACAATGGATACCATAAACCAAAACCGATAGGTTAAAGCAAAATGCAGTTCTAAGAGGAACACATCACAACAAGTGCCTAC